TACCTCCACACAACGCTGTTCCTCGAGCGCCGAGGTCCTTCAGAACCGCATGCGCGCAGTGAGGCACACATGATATTTCAAACATATTCACGCAATGTAAATGGAATATATATTCAAACGTATGTATCCGTGCTAGAATGTTCTGTGTACAGCGACTGCAGACACCTATGTACACTGGAATAACCGAGTGTGTAATCATCTCTCTCCACCTCCTTACCATGCAAACACTCCAACTCCTTTCCGTGACTGCTCCCGCACTGAGTGGCTACTTCCCAAGCACGTTGCTGACAACTTCCTAGGGAAATAATAGCCCTGTTTGCTAACCCCGAGGCGGCACTCTGTCTGTGTTCCTGCTAAGCCTCTCTTATTCCTGTTAAGTATTTTAAAGAGCAAAACCTCCTGGGAGCAGGGCTGTCCGGCGGGTTCAGAATCCACTGGAGGGACAGGCTGACAATGAAATTCAAAAGAACCTCTTCTGTTGTTGCCTGTCATCAAAGTAATCTGAAAATTATAGTGCACTAAGCTATTCTAAACAATGACATATAGACTGGAGCTGTACATATTAAAACAGAGTTTACTTGCGCACCATGGAGCTAAAGACAGAGCAAGACCTCTGTGAAAGCCTTCAAGAAACATCACTGAGCTCCTCTCTTACATTTAATACATCCTTTGGACTACGACTACACTCTGCAAAACCTCTAAAACTGGTCCCTCTTCATCTCCAGGGTTGATCAGCACATGTTGGTGTGACAACATCCCTTACCATCAGTGATTATTTAGGAAATATTCACCGACAGAAACACTCAGTGGTCCTGCAGCAGCAACCAACAGTCTTGAATGAAGTTTACACAGATACAAGATACTGAAGGCAAAGCACCTGGACATCTCAGTGGACCACCGAAGCCTGGCCCAAAGGTATTTCACATGTCAGTGGATGATATTTCATATCACAGCCATCGATGCAGAACAGCTGCAGTGCTCAATACTCTTAGGAGATCTGTTTTTTCCAAGGACAGCTTTCAACTTTTTTTTTTTTTAAAAAAGGAATTCACAAGCCTTAATAAGACCAAAGGAAGTGCTTTAAAAGCAGGCGTGTCATTTAAAAGACTATTTCAGCATCTGTTACCACTTAATTGGCTTGCCTGCTCACAGTAGGAGCATCGAGTCTATCTTCTGCAAGCCTCACTTGCGCGTGTTAAATCCAAACACCCTCCAACTGAATCACATTAGAAGTACGCGTGTACATAAATATCTCTATAATCGAATTGGTAACCTATGAGATGCCATATAAATAAATACTAATATGTCATTGAAAGGTTTTCTCTTTTTTTTTTCAGAAAAAAGTATTTTTTCAAATAGAATGGAAACAAAAAAATCTTCAACTTCTGCCTGAACAACTGATGTAACAATCCTCCACCCTCCAGTCACGCAGCCCCGCTGCCATCCACCCTCCTCGAAGGCTGAGCCGGACCAGCTCCTGCCTGCCTGCAACTCATCACCGAGATGGACCCTTCGAAAGATTGGTGAGGCCTTCAAGGCTCTTCCCTCTTCACATCTTGTGTTAGAAACCAAAATACCAATCCTCTCCCCCCCAGGAAAGAGAGGGAGGGAAGCTGAGGGGATGGCAAGCTGGGAAATCCAGCAGAAAAAGGATGGCCCTTGAGCAACAGTTGGCATGTTGTCTCTACCTGTTGGCATCCCTGGAGCATCATAGGAAAGGGATGTTTTGATCAACGTACGCCACAATAAATCTAAATAAGTTCTCAGCATTAGCTTAAAACGAAGCAGGAAACATAGTGGAACCTTAAACACGACTTGGCTGAACAACCTCCTGCATCTCCCTTGGCCCTGCGATGTCCAGGGGTATTACAGACCGCTGCTCTTCCATTCAGCTCGGTACACTGCATTTGCGGTGAAAAAAGCAATTCATTGAAAACTGTGCAAAACATAAGGAATTCTGACCACTCCTCATTTTATTTTTCTCTTTTCTAAATTCACTCGTCATGGAAATTCTATGCCAGGTTTCTCCAGGGCCAAAGGATCAAAGGTTTTGGAAGACAGATTTTCTATCTTTATTTATAATTGACTTTATACCATTTTTGCATTAACAGGCATTGTAACTGGAAAAAAATGGAGAACATAGTTGTTCGAAGAGTCTTCAACCACCTTCAATAAAGTCCTCACATTTCTTGGTGAGTCTCAATTAAGAACAGTGGAAAATCAGTTATCTAAAAAAGATATTTATGTTGCCTTGACTGATATGCAGTTTCTCCTATTTCTTCTACTGTCCTTGATACTGACCTAGTGAGCCTTAACTATCTTTACCTAATCTAACATTTCACTACTTTAACCAGTGCCATAACCATACAATTCTCAAGTCTCAGATTTTCAGAGATGTATTAAAACTGCTCAATCTCGCCCCAGTGGAAAAATGTTTGAATTTTGCTGCTAACTACACTTCACCATTTCTGTCCTGGCTCATAGCTGGGATATCTTTCAATTTGAATTTCACTTTAGTCCCCTGAATTTGGAAACATCTTCTGGCTATGACCTCATCATCCCTGTACACGTTTATTTTTTAAGTCTTAAAATACTGTCAGATACTCAATTTGAACACAAATTCCACGGCAAAATTTCCTTGACTTCTGTCATTCAAAATTTCATTCATTTGATGGTCACAAAAGACAATATCCGAAACATCCTTTTTAATTTTTCCCCTTTTTTTTTTCTTTTAATATAGATATTCACAATGTTATAGCAGTGAGTTTTCAAATCACCTCAAAATTTCTGATTTTCTTTTATACAGTGAAGAAGTGAATTTCCAGATACGAACCCTGTGCCTAGTTTATAATGCCACTGCTTGCATGTGCTGTTTGGTGCACCAGAACTAACGGAAGAAGTTGCTCTTTGCTCCCATACCTTTATAACATCAGCTGTTACCTTCTCACTCCCCATGACATTTGGGTGTTCTAGGAGACCAACAGTTGAAAATGTTCAGCTGAAAACGTAGGTGTTGGGGCAACTGTGATTAGAAGTGCAGACAGGACACACTTAACATTTCCATCAGTTTACAGAGAACAGCCAAACAAACAAAACTCCCAACTGTGGGGAAGTACCACTTACCCATACCAGAAGCGGGGATCACTGGATATACAGTGGTTGAGATTCCGGTGTGCCAAAGCCTTCTTCTTATTTAAGACAAATTCTTGTAATTTCATCTTTACTTCTGTGCTTGCCACTGCACCTGAAATGTCAAAAAGAAAAAAAAAGGTTATTTAATCAATTCACACACTTTAAAGAATTTAAATTTCTAAAAAGATTCAGAATGAAATCTTTGATTTCCAGTCCAAAAGAAGAACTTTTTTTTCAAAGAGAAAAGAACAAAGCGCCTCCAGTAAGGAGCTCTACTGCTTTTTCTTTTTTTTTCTTTAGCTTTGCATATAATCACAACTTATGTTTGAAAACAGAAATTTGATCAGAGATTTATAATTTCACGATAAAAGATTTCTGAAGAGGATTTTTACACTTGCATAAAAGTACACTTAGAATAAAGCACTTGTACTAGGTATTCCAGCTTTCTTTTAATCAAAGGTATTTAAGAAAAAGGGTCTTGTGTACACTCAAGTTTTTAAATGTCACATCTGCAAGCAGAACGGGAACGAGATGAATGTCTCATATGTAGATTTTGTCTTGAAAACTCTCATAAATAGGGACTTCTTTGTTCCAAAGTATCTGTGTGCAATAAGACCTACATAATATTCCAATTCATTTACATGTGTGCAATCCATTTCTTCAAATAGAAAATATAACATTTAAAGAAGAAAGTCAGTAATTTTGTAGCGTAGAGTTAAAATGTCAACTGTGTAATTTCTAATCATTATTTCCTCCACAATAGAGACCAGTCTGTTTTACTGCGATGATGGATTAAAATTCTCATTCGGTTGACAGAAGAGCTTCACAGGCAGACTTCCTGATGGAGTAATGCATAGAAAGTTTGGCAAGCAGAACATGTGGAAAATGATGCTTCATCTATACCACGGCGTAAAGCAGAGAATTCCAAAGGAAAAAATATCTGGGCTACAAGAAAATGGAAAAGCCAGGAAAACTGTCTGCCCTACTGGGAATAAAAACTTAAAATACGACAGGGTGATCTTTTGTCTCCTGGATCCTGCTCAACAATGACATTTGACAGACCGGAGAAATAATTGTGTGTATCTCCCCAGGAGAAGAAAACTGTTTCTGTAAAGCACTGCGTGAAGATGTAATACTGTTCAACCACTGAAGTGGCGTTGAAAAGCTTGAAAATTCACTTTTTGGAAGCCCTGCCTTTCTCGCTAGCTCTACAAACGTCGGTTTGGCATGTACCCCAATGTGAAGTTCAACTGAGGAGCTTGAGACAAATTCACAGGAGTGCAGCAAGCCACGTGGCTCAACCAGAATAGGTGAGAAATTCAGGCTTAAAGGCTTTCTCTCTCCAAAAAGTGTCATCTTGAATCTATTAGCATCTTTAAAACAATCAATCGTGGCTGTGTTCTGTCAGTTTTAGATAAATCTGGTATTATCTGTGAAGACCTGAAGCTAAACATTTTTGGATCTTGAGGTTTACAAGAGCTCTCTTGGCATGTTGTCCTCCTTAATTTGAAGCTGAAAGGCCCTATATATGCTTAAGAAGATAAAAATGTGTTGGCTTTCCCTTCCCTGGGCAATGCTGGAGCCATGGACCAAGCTGTCACGCAAGATTTTCTGACCATTACTCAGGTCTTGACCCTTGAGTTGAAACATCAGAAGAAAAAAAAACAACCTAACTCACTTTGAATACACTATACTGGGTTATTCTGGAGCCAGTCCCATCGTTACAGGCAGAAACACTGCAATATCCAGGGAAGACGTCAAAGAGGACACAACGGCAGAAAAGGACAACGTGTCACATATGTGATAGTGTACACCACGCGGGGGTACGAGCAAAGAGGACAAGAGCAAAAGTCAGACATCAAAAGCCTGGACGTATGGAGTAAATCCATGGGCAGGAAGCAAGACACTCAACCCCAAAGGAAGCAGAAGGCACGGCAGAGCGAAGGGAGGACGAGAGGGAAGGAACTGGAGAGTAAAAGCTCATGCAGCAGCACTGGTAAGGTGGGGGGGGGGGGGAATGAAAGCCTTGAAGCATGCTTGCTGGGCTCCTCGATTCAGAGGGCATGAGTGTCTACGAGGGAGCAAAAAGCAGATTGATAAAGCCTGCAAACAGGAGAGAGCCACACTGAGCAAAGTACCACAGGCAGGATGGCTCTGAAGAGCCCAAAGACTGAGCCAGGCTCCTACTGCAGAGATGAAGCCGAGTGACATATTGTCCCAGGATCAAACCGGATCTGAAGATAGGATAAGGGAGGGCAGGAGCAGGATGAGGCTCCTGCAGGAAGGAGGAGGTTGCACAACGCAAGAGCAGAGGAGCAGAATAAATGGAAATTAACGGGAGAAAGCCCTTAGAGCATGGGCTGAGCACAGGCGGCCAAACTGTAGGACAAAGTCTAAGACCAGCCATGGTCCAAGGCTTCCCCAGCACAAGGGACTGAACGGTCCATCGCCAGAAGTGTCTGGAAACATCAATGAGTAGGATCAGTTCTAGGTTCAGTCCTAACAGTGGAAAGACAAGACAACCAACTATCGCTCCTTACCCTGCACAAAGCCCACCTTTACTTTCATATACATTTTTCTTCCTTTCGTGAAAGTCATGCTTTTGATCCAAAGCTTTATGATAGCAGACATCAGTTCATGAGAGACAGGTTACAGCTCCCGAGATGAAAACCCAAGGAGCTGATATTATGTTAATCCAAACTGATTTGTGGTTTGCCTTCTAAAAGGTACAAAACCAATATGTTTTCGCTTACAGTGATGGAGGAAGGAGGGAGAATAAAATCTACTCTACATCTATTACACACTCTTCATATTTTAGATCAGGACAATTTTAGCTCTGTTGCGCTTCACAAAATTTTCTGATGGGAGAAAAATAACTTTAGTATTCTTAAAAGCTAAGGTGCTATAATGATTATACACCATAGTGCTTCTTAAATAAAAAGTAATTTAAAAATAAAACTGTAGCCATGGGAACAGGTTCTTCAACTTAACATCCCCAAATTCCGTTTTTTCCCCTACACCTATGTGTTTCAACCAAAAGGTGCTTCGATGCTATTGCCATTTTACAGAGATTCAGGCATTTTTCTTTATTTGCAAATGACTTTAATGAGAACAGTCAAACCACTGATTAATTATCAACAGTTGATGAGAACCACAGCGTGAAGTGGAACTACTTCTAGCTTTCATTTAGTTCGAACAGACCACCTTTACTTTGATAAAGAACACAACGCAGCCAGAGGACAACGGAAACCATCGCACGTGGCAGCCAACTGGGCAGCACAGCAGCCAACCTGCATGATCATCACCTTTCCTCACTCCTGAAGGTTAATTTGCTTCTTTTAAGTAGATTCTGACACTTTGGTCTCTCTCCTAGTATTTTAAATGAGCGAAACCCAAAGCAAAGACACACAGACACGTTGCACCTCCTACAAACCGCTTTGCGAAGGTATTGGGGTAGGTCTGTGCGTTCCCTCACTTTGGCTGCAGCTTAAAATCTGCCACTGCCAGACGCACATGCAGGGAGTGGGGAATTCAACCTGAAAGAGTGCTCAGGCACTGGAACAGGCTGCCCAGGGAAGTGGTGGAGTCACCATCCCTGGAGGGGTTCAAGAAACGTGTAGATGTGGTGCTGAGGGATATGGGTTAGTGGGTTGGGTTGACAGTTGGACCTGATGATCCCTGAGGTCTTTTCCAACCTTAATGATTCTATGATTCAGATAATTTTTTTAGTCTCCTAGACCCCCCATCCTTTCCTACTAGAAAAAATCTTCTTGGAGCTTTATCTCGTTCCTGGTCCCCAGACAGCATCCCATCTCCTGACACCCTTCAGCCCTCTCTGCTCCTTCCATCACTGGCTTCTTTCTTTCATTTGAAATGAAGACCTAACGAGTTGATAGTACAACTTGGCGAGGTATTTTTCCTTCCATTCACTTCTAAAAGAAAACCAAACAAGCAACCAAAGTGTCTTTGATAAGGGAAATTGTGAGGCCATAATCATTTCACTGAATCTTGTGAAGTGAATAATGACACGTGGGAAAGCCAACCACAATCTGTAACCTCATGAAAGAAGTACTTTCTGAATGAAAACATTTTAAAGCTAAGAACTGAGAGCTCGGCTACATCTTAAAAGAGTGAAATTAAGAAAGTAAAAAGAGAAAGAAATGCAGCATGCATCTGGTGTATTTTATGGGCTTAATATTCTGCCTCCATTAGGAATGCTACCAAAAATACTTCAAAAAATGTTAAATCAAGTAAAGAGACGATACGCTTCCTTTTGAAAAATGCTAAAATGGCATTCAGGAAGACAAAAATGAAGATAAAGCACAGAAATACATTTCTCTCTTACCCTCAATACCTCCTAACAGTTTACATAAGCTCCCGGTGCAGCCAAGCTCTGTAGAGAGGCCACCATGAAGGTTTCTCCAGCTTTATAAAGCTGCTTGATGGCTTCCATTCATCTCCTCTACCTGTCATCGCTGAAACAAGTGAGCTTTTGCTACTTACTTTCTTTTCCTTTCTCTTTGTTTTTGAGCTGCTGAAGTTTCTGCTCTCGGTGCTGCTTCTCCAGCTCCTGCTCTTGCCGGTGCTGCTCCAGCTTCCTCTGGTGCTCCAACAGCTCCTGCTGATGCTTCATGGCCAGCATCTCCTGCTGCTGCTGCGGAGAAGGGACGAGGGGGAAAAAAAGAGAAAATTAACACAGTCAGGCTTGCCAGCGCTAAACCAGACGCTGCTATCAGGTGATAACAACATTGTTTAATTCATACAAGTGGGAAAAAAGGCATTTTCCTTGTCTAGAGGCTCCTGCACAAAGACTCCCAGGCACTTCATGTAGTCACAGTTCTACTTCAGGCCAGCACTTATGCTAAACCATCGGCACTATATGCTCTGGGCTTCAGGGTACGGTCTCTTTACAAGCACAAGCACCCCAAGAAGGCAACAAAAAGCTTCCTCCCAAATAGGCTGGGGAGAAATTCCCCAACCACTGCTGCCAAAGGCTGCGGCTGGGTCCCCACTTCTGCTCCGTAAGCTGTCCGCTACCACCACTACTCCAGGTGGACCTTCATTTTCTCTCCATCGTCTGGTTTAAGTAAAACCCCCATTAGGACACTTTAATGATGAATATTCCCATGTTCACCACATACAAGCCCTGCGCTGGAGGAATATCACTGAGCTCACCCAGTCAGGCGTTCACCGCAAAATACGCCGTCATCAACACGGGCTTTGCAAGGCCAGTTCAGTTCCCTTGCACATATGCTTTTTGGAATAAGCCTTTAATTATACCACTTTGCACTCTGGTTTCTCCAGAAGTCATTCTTTCTCTCTGTGTGGATAGTGGAGCTCCCACGGACCAGGACAACTCTACCTTGTTAACTTCATCAGACACCGGTCACTTCCCATCTGCTGTGCAAACCTCACGCCCCAAGCTAAATCGCAGAGTGCAAAAGGAATAGCTGCCTTGCAGGCATGATCACCCCCTGTTTCTGAGCTTAATTATAGAAGAATTGCTTCAATATAAAAGAAATTCTTCCAATAATCCCTTAAGGAAGACTTTACCCTGGTCCTCTAGATTTGCATACGTTCATGAGAAGAACTGAGATGGGATGCCTAATTAAGGTTAAGATTTGCGAAGCTTGTATCAACTGGGATGTTCGAGGTTCGAAGCACCAAAGGCTCCTGCCACCACCCAGTGTGCAAGTCCCCCCTTGGGTCTCCAAACCCTGGCACCTGAAAGATGTGCACGGACACACCAACCTCCTGGGAAATTTGGGGTGGAGCTCCCCAGCCCAGAGCATCCTCTTTGGGTCCAGGAGGGATTCCCCTGGGGGTGGGGGGTTGGATCTGCCAGGCCCTGGGGTGGTACCTGCCCATGCTCAGAGGACACCCACGCTGTGACAGCCAGCCAGGAGCAAGCTGGGTTGCAGAAAAGCAGATGACAAATGACAAGACAGCCTGCAGCTCGGCTAGATGTGAATGGATCTCCATGCAGGTTGCAAAAGGTGTTTCCCCCTTCAATTCTGCTGAAAACTGCTTTTTCTTACCATACTCCTCAAACTAAGATTCACCACCTCCCCCTTTCATTTGCACCCTTCTCCACCCAGAGAAGCGCTAAAGCCATCTGCCTGGGCTGCTCCCATTCCCCCTGCGAACCCCCCAGAAGGCAGCAGCACACCAGCTCCCCGCCGTCCGCCTCCCCCCCGCCTGCCACGTTGGCAGCTTATAAACTTGCAGCTTGATTTGGACCTGCCAACCTTAATCTTCAAAACCCTTCCCGCTTTGGCGACAGATGAGACTTGTCCGAAGCCGGATTCTCCTTCCGAAAACACGTCTCACTCCATCCCTCTCCAAACCCTGACAGCACGTGTGTACGTAAGGCTCCCAGCCCACGTACGCTGATTTTTCCTTCTCTTTTTGCACATTCTTCTATTTACTTTTCTGAGAGCAATTTCTTATTTTAATTTGTGGTACTGTACATTTGTACTACCCAATGTTTCAGCCACAGATACGCTATATACGATACACCTAAAATTACACAATTCTATATAAAGACGATACAAAAAAAAAAAAAAAAGTAAGAGGTACTTTACAATCTGCCTGGCTATCTGCTGGAAACTCGAGATGGAGGAGTCCCTGCTGCTGCCGGTTCCAAGCAGGCAGAATGTTGTAAAACACCGAACCCCAGTTAGCAGAATTTGCAGTGATTGCACCTATGTTTCCCTTCCTAATTCTATTGAATTTTATGTAAACAACGAAAAACCCAGACTCTAAAAACCTACAAAATTAAAAAAAAACAAAACAAAAAAACCCCCAAAAAAACAACCCCTTAGAGGAAACTAGTTATTTTTGTTTTCTAATTAAGCAGCAGCTTCCACTAACACATCTCCATTTGGAGAAAGAATATCTTTTCAGACTTCCAACAAGTCCACCACATGGTGGGCTTTTATAACCTAGCCATAGAAAGTATGCAAATGAACAATATTTAATGCACAATATGTTAAAACAGGTTTTGTTATTTTTATGAAATCAGGAGCCTTTTCTCTCCATCTGCAGTCTCCTAGGCTTTGCACGTTCTGCTTCCCGCAATGGTTTACATACATTAGGATGCTTTAGAAGGAACTGTGCTTTCCTTGACATCTGTAGTGAAATGTAAATGAAAAGACCAATTTGTATCGAGATGGCTTACAGAAGTTTCATTAGAGATGTATTGTTTCTGCTGATTCTGACCCCAGTCTCCAAAAAGCCTATTCTTAATATAGTTTTCAAACCATTTCACAGTTGAAAAAATAAAAACAAAAAATAAAATAAAAAAATGAAGCAACCTCTCCCATCATATCCATCAAAAACGGGAAGAAATCACGCTGTTGGTGTCTATCGTAGCGTCAGAAAATGACTGAAGCACACCCATTTGAGTGCTCTGTCCCAACTGCGATGTCTCCTT